GTGGAGAAGATGTAGCTGGGTAGATGACAAATGTTACTTGATTCATGATGGATGGATGAGTGATGGGGAGTTTTTCTCTTCAAAATGACCTTTTCTCTATTTTTGGATCATCTTTTTTGACTGAAACAAAGTCAAAGCAAAAATCTCACAATGTGTAACTTTACTTCTCATTCTCTGTGTATTGATGTGCTCCAGGAGCTCCATGAGACCCACCAGCCTGACTCGGCCTACGCTGCCCTCATGATGGAGAAGAAACTGCTGCAGGTGGCTCTGAAAGAGTGGGAGGGGCTGCCCATGATGGGGACCAGCTTCTCCATGCAAGTCCAGAAGGACGTAAGTTAACATTTTTGTTTTTGTGGAAGTTTAAAACATTGAGATGTTCATCTTATTTCCTTTTCAAAATCTTTTTTCCCCTTACTTTCTCTTTATTGAATAGTAATCAGAGGGGTTTGAAACCAATGAAAGTCTCCAAGAACTGAGCTAAAATCAAGTACTCTCTACTTTGATCATTCCTGTATTATAGTAACAATAAAACAATGTCTTATGACTCGATTTATTTAACACTAGAACCTTTACAAGATCCAACAAGCTTTCAAAATTGTATGTACGTGCACAAATGCACCCTTGGGAAATTACACACACGCATATTCTCACATATTCTTGCACCCACTCACACTCATATGTATCCTCCTGAACTTGCATATAAACACAAGTGCGACCACACACACAAATGTGCTCACAAATACTCATTTGAACACGTGCAGACTCAAACTCTACCCCTCCCTCTCTCTCTCTCTCACCCTCTCTCATACTCATTTTGTGCAGCTGTTTTCGGACATGTTTGCGGAGGACCCTCTCTTCCAGTGTGAGCTGGCCCAGCACTGTGTTCAGCAACAGGACCAGAAGGCAGGACGCCGAACACACAAAGAGAAGCAAGTGGCCATGGTCAAGATGATATCACGTCTCATGGAGGTGTGGAGATGACTACAGTGTCTGGAAAATAAAGATTAATCTTAGCTTATCTTATTTTATGACTTTTTACTGTACGCTTATTCTATAGTAAGCAGCTTTGAGGTTGTAAAAGTAAAAAGAATGATGCTGCAAGTATGAGCTGTTACTGTTTGAGACTCTGCTTGTTGATACCTAACCAAACGAGGTTCTTGGAATAAAAATGCTTTTGTGTTATAAACGCAATCCATTTTGAATTTTAATGTTCATAGCAGTTAATGTTTTTCGCAAGGATTTGTTAGAGCTATTTTGATGCTGGTTGAAAGATAGGTGGGTAAATTTTCACTCAGTTGGCTTGAGAGTTTGTATCGAAATGAAAAAGAAGGAGAAAAATAAGCAGAAGAGGAGGAGGAGGAGGTTAAGATATCTCATTGTGTCAATTTGTGAAAATTGAAAGTAACAATGGTGTGTGTTTCAGGTTTTGACACTGAGGCAGAGGATGATTGACGCATGCTGGGAAACAGAAATTCTGGCCAAGGTTTGTTTATTCCAGTTTCTAATGAAATATTCACAGTTGTAGACATTAGTTAGCTATGTGACCCAAGAAAGGTATTGAGAAGAATGTGAAAAGCCTGGAGTTAACCTCATTTTAGTACACCAAGGAGATAACAATAACCCCGTAACATAGTTTTGTACCGTTTCCTTGTGTTACCTATATTTTTTTAAAAGCACTAACATCCCCCTCCCCCACTCTAGCAGCCTCCCCTTCTGTTGTATAGACTTTCTGCAATGTTTTTTATGTGCTTTTTCCAGTCATTTGAAGCTTCATGTGGCTGTAAAGATTTATCCTGACAATTTTTTTTCCTTAAATTGAACACATATGGGTGGACTTTTAATAGCATCTATTGAAAGACAATAACTGTCTTTCTTTCTCTATTAATTTACTTAATAATATACAGCAATGCATTGAATTTAAAAATTTAGTTAATACATAGGAAATTAAGCAGTTGCCGAAAGTTAGAAAAACAGAATGTCTAATGTGACTTTAGTGAAATCTTCATGGCAGTCATGCATATTTCTTGGAAATATTTTAAATTCTGAGGTGGTTTCTGTTGATTGAAAATTGAAGAGTCCATTGAATAGATGAAGGGAAGAAAGCGGCTAAGATAGTTGTCGTCCGTTACTTATTTAATTTTCCTTCACGCCAGATTTACAAGAAACAGGCCTCTGAGATGGGCTACCCAGACTATCACATGAACATGAGGTTTGTCCAGTTTGAGTTTGCCAGCTACAAGGAAAAAGCAGGGAAGGCACCACCAATCTTCATCACAGCCGTACAGGAAGATGACACAGCCGTGGACAAGTGAGTTGTTTCTGCCTGGACATGGTGGGAAAATAGGATAGAATAAAAAAATGAAACTCCACATTTATTGATTTCTGTGGGAGAAATTTGTTTTACAACAGTGTACATAATATTACATATGTATGTAGATAAATACATAAACACATACCATCTCTTCCTCCTCCTCCTCCTCCTCCTCCTCCTCTTCCTTTTGTTCTTGTTCTTGTTTTTTTTCTTGTTCTTTTTTTTGTTCTTATTTTTCTTGTTGTTGTTGTTCTTCTTCTGATGGCACATTTTAACCCAACAGACAGCATGAAAATTTGCCTGTACCACCCTCCTCCTCCTCCCTCTCCCCCTCCCTCTCCCCC